CTGTAAGAGTCATCAAATCTCATGGTACTTTGGAAAAGTTTACCAACATACTAGTATATGAGAAGACCCTGACACTTTGTCAGAATTGATTAAAAATATCAGATGGATGTTGAAAGAAATCTCGCATTAAGCGGCTGAGGGGCAATATGAAAACCATCTATCCTTCTGTCAATAATTCAAATGACTGGTCACAGTAGCCTAGTGGTAAGGCGTTCACTTCGTGAAGGCCATCGTGTTCATCACTTTACGTGGTCGAAGAATGGCCATATTCTGGAATGTTTATTGATGTCAAAGAGTCGATCAGGGACATGTTAGGGCGTCTTTGTAGAGACCAAAGAGGGACAACCCATAATTGGGTATTACAAGAGGACTATAGCTGTATTGCAATATGCAAATAAACCTTTGAAGCGCCGTTTAAATGCTGCTTGAACAAAATTAGATTGCGGGAGGAAGTTGAATACATATAGAAAAATCTAATTAAGTTCACCTTACAGGTAAGTCTCCTTTAATTTTCTAATTCTCCATCATCACCAAGTCACGTGGGTATCATATGAGATGTTTAAAGCAAATATTCACATATTGAAAATATTAATTATACAAAACAGAGAAACTTCTATAAATGTCAAAGATTTATTGAATATTCTAATCATCTATCCTACATGCTAAAAACAAGATTGGCGCTCGCTTCGTGATCGGGAGGTCGTGAGTTCGAATCTCGGCCGCGACTGACCTAAGTCGATAAAAAATTGGTAGCCACTGTTCCTTCGCCATGCGCTCGGCACTTTGAAGTGAAAGTTGCGGGTCCTTCGGATGAGACCTTAAAAACCGAGGCCCCGTGACACGGCAGGCCTTGGCACGATAAAGATCCCTCACTGCTCAATGGCCCTGATTCCCGAGTAAAGGTCAAAATTTGAAGCCCTTCACCGGTATATGGTGACGTCTCTATATGAGTGAAAAATTCTCGAATGGGACGTAAAACAACATACAATCAATCAATACATCCTCTGGTAATGAGCAATCTTTCTGTAGAGTACAAGTTTCGTAAATTCCAGTCTCTATGATTGAAAGAGTACTTTACAGTTCTAAATCCTACGTTCTTATCGAAAAGTTTTGTCTTAGAATTTAAGACGCTTAATTTCTCGTCTGGAGCATAAATAGTGCGTAGGATGAGCTACTATTTATCCATTAGAAAATTATACCCAAGATACAAAATAGTACAGACAGACGGACTCAGTGATGCCTACAAATACCCTCAGATATCTTGCCATTGGATCGCATAGAGATTAAACCGATTCCTTTGAAAATCGGCTCAATTCACCACACCCCCGATTATATGTGTGGGAAACACATGCGTGTAACGAATTAAAATTTACTACATATATTCCCATGCCGTTAAGTCCCTTGGTGAGGGATAGAATATAGTAGGGAATTGGAGGGGTTATCGTTATCGTGTGGAAACATATTTTTGACTTTATCATTAATCCAAAATTCTCCTCCTCAATATGGCGGTCTGATTCTTCACTTCCTTTCCACCATTTGATATTATACTTTTAAATGGAAGCTCACTGTAGCGTGTTTATGTCATGTTTTAGATTTTGAATTTACTCCCAAACGGTAAATTCAAAATTTAGAACATGACAGTTTGGCAATAACAGGCTCGAAAAAGCGATTTTGAAAGTTCGGGGATCAATTTTGCTCATTTTTTATGGAAGGGAATTGCCGCCAGAAGTCTATTTATCTTGCTTTTATTCTTATTCTGCCTACTTCTTTATTCTTTGTTATTATTGTAACTATATGTCACTTTATTGTTTTCATATTCGTCTTTATTACATTTCACTTTGAACTTTTTTCATTCTTCATTTTGTCCTTACTTCTACGTTGCTTTATTCTTGTAAATACGTTCTTCTTTCTTTTAAATTGATACAGTTTCTTTAATAAATAATTATGATCATCTCTATTACAAATGTAAATTCAGTCACGGAACCCATGAAGCGCATTCAACGAAGACGAATATGTGAATTTAATGCGGCATTATAACGCTAGGTGGCAGGGTGTTCGCTGCGAGCGTTGGTAAAATTAGATACGCAAACCCGAACCGGGGTTATTCGAGATTTTTCAATTTTCTGCCGTTATACTTTATCAATCTAACCCAAATTTTCAAATGATGTATGTTATAGGTTCAGGCATGTACCCGGTGTCGTTCCCCCTGAAGGCTGGCTAGATGGTAAGACTTCCCCCAGAAGATTAGCTATATAGTGAGACTTCTCCAGGGGAAGTCTCACTATATAGCAAGTCTTCCGGGGGAAAGTCTCACCATATAGTTAGTCTTCCCCCTTCATAGCGAAACTTCCCCCTTTAATTTAGTTTCCGAATATTTCTTTATTGTAAAACAATGTTTTTATACTAACGTTTTCAGTGTTTGGATCTCTCTCTCTCTTTCTCTCTCTCTCTCTCTCTCTCTCTCTCTCTCTCTCTCTCTCTCTCTCTCTCTCCATATATATATATATATATATATATATATATATATATATATATATATATATATATATATATATATATATATATAAGATCATTACCTAAATATGCAATTTATACATCGTCGATGTAAATAAGATCCAAACCAAAACAGAAAGGTAAGTCTCACTATGGTCGTTTAGGGCGGAAGGCTCACTATATAGTCATTGCCCCCCCCCCCCCCGAGGGGAAGTCTCACTATATAGCCAGACTTCCGGGGGAAAGACTCACTATGGGGAAAGTCTCGCTATATAACACCGGTAGCGGGGGGGGGGGGGGGGGCTGGCCACCAAACATTTTTCTAGCCATAACTTTTTACAACTGAAAATGTTCAATGAAAGTCTGGTTGTCCCCCCTCCCTTCCCACTTTTTGTTGCAGTTTAGTCAAATAAGGGCCATGTACGTAGTGATGTATGAGTAAAATTTGGTACTGAAAGAAGTTGGACCCCCTTAACCCCCCCCCCAATAGAATTTTCGAGTTTGAAGAATTTTCCTCTTTTTTTTAGTTCTTTTTTTTTTTTTTTTTTTTGTTTGTTTGTTTGTTTGTTTGTTTTTTGCTTGTCAAGATTTTCAGGTAAGTTATTTTTTTCCCTCTGGCTGCCCCTTTCAAAAACAATGCTACGTCTCTTTTATCTGTATTCGCTGTAAAAATTGCCAATATTTATATTCACGTATTTATATTTTGAAAATCTCAATATTTTAGATTATTTTTGGCGATTTTTGATTTCCAATTTGCTAAGATGGGAAGGCAATATCAAGCCGACATTTTACATATGTTTTGCCAAACGTGACATTGATAAAATAATTTTTTGAGTTATTCTGATGTCAAACACTGTGTGCTTACTAGAGATATTTATTTCTTTATTGAAAAGTGCTATTTCTATATCAAAATTTAATACATATTTTCATAAAACCGGGGGAAGTTTCTAGTATGCCACGGTCTAGCCTGGTTCCGGCCACATCTACATATGTACCCATGACGTTCCGCACTACTTTGCAGAGCATTATAGGTTGGCCGAAACCAGACTAGCCCCGATCCCCAGAATCACGCAACTGCGGATAAAAAGTTATTATCCTGAAACAAAGAAATGTCAGTTCAGTGGAAGAATACATAGGGGTCCTGAAAAACAGCTTGTTTTATAAGGGTATACTAGTAATTATCAAAATATTTTTATATTTTTTAAATCAATAAAACTGAAATTGAATCATCCAACAAATAACATGAACAAAGTTATATTTTTCAGGTGACAGAAAATACACAATTATTTTGGAGTTTTCATCATTGGTCTGGTTAAAATGACCCAGATTTTCTTAAAATGTGTTATTTAAAGCAACAATAGCACATTTGAAAGAAGAGATGCTTATAAATAGTTAAGATATAACGTTTAACCTCAGAATAATTTATAAATTTATTAGCTTTTGGTATAATACATATATATATATATATATATATATATATATATATATATATATATATATATATATATATATATATATATATATATATATATAAAAACTAAAAATGTCAGCTTGATACTGCCTTCCCGTTTTACCAACTTGGAAATCAAATATCTTCGAGAAAATCTAAAATATTGAGCATTTCGGGGCAATTTTACCGCGTATACAAATAAACCTATCAATAACATAACTTGAAAATTTGGGTTCGATTGATAAAGAATAACGGCAAAAAATTGAAAAATCTCGAATAACCTCGGCCCGGGCTTGCGTACCTAATTTTACCAACACTCGCAGCGAACACGTGCACCCTGCCACCTAGCGTTATAATGCCGCATTAAATTCACACTACTTGTATTCGTCTTCGTTGAATGGGTTGCGTGACTGAATTTACATTTGTAATAGAGATGATCATAATTATTTATTAAAGAAACTGTATCAATTTAAAAGAAAGAAGAACGTATTTACAAAAATAAAGCAACGTAGAAGTAAGGACAAAATGAAGAATGAAAAAAGTTCAAGTGAAATGTAATAAAGACGAATATGAAAACAATAAAGTGACATATAGTTACAATAATAACAAAGAATAAAGAAGTAGGCAGAATAAGAATAAAAGCAAGATAAATAGACTTTTGGCGGTAATTCCCTTCCATAATTTTTTCCTTAAAATTTATTTTTGAATTTTTTTCCCCGAAAGTTAAATAACCCCGACCTGCGTAGTATGACCCTTAATGGTGATTTAGCAGACAGAATATATACTTTTTTGTACCGTTTGTTTAGGTACACTTCATCCATGCGCATGAGTATCAGGTAAGTTACTATTTTAAGCAAACAAAGGAAATAAAAAACTCTTCATTGAAAAAGGCGGCAGTGATATTAAATTCATTCTAGCGTTGATGTCAAGTAAATGTAAAATGTTTTATTACTTTATTATACATCATGGATTATTTGCCAATTACACAAAGAAAGCTGAAGCGGTATTTTGTTTGAATTTTTTAATCTCTGTTTTAAATTATTTCCTCAACCCTTCGTAGATTTTAGCGAACAAGAGTACAAAGAATGGAAAAAAACACAGTAGGATAGTATTCTCGACCGCAGTAAGGAAAATGATTTCATAGAAAAAAACTAATTTGAAATTTTACTTTCTTTCTTTATATTTCCATTCCAACATATTAAACAAAATAGGAAACGATATAGTAATTGATTTATGACAATTTAATAATGTATCATGAAATGTCATAAAGCCAGTAAGCCAGGTTTCCTTTGGTTTTAACTGAGAAGTGGACAACACAAGTTAAACATACACCAAATATATATGCTATATCTGCAGACCAGCAGAGTTTGTTGCGAATTCAAAAATAAGTTTGGAATGACCTTAAGCCAGAAATCCATTTTTTGTTGTCTATACTTTGTTCTTGCAGTTACACCACCGCTGAACTGTACGTAAGCCTGCGTTGATGAATTGAATGGAGGCCAATCGGGAAGGTCGTCATAGTTTGGGTTCCTAAAAAAATCAGAACTTTTAAAATCAAAAGCAAATAGCATTTATCTAATAAAATGTTAATTTTTACTTAAGAAAATGAAAGGAAAAAATGTAAAAAAAAAAAAAAGTAATAAATTACTGAACATACTCACCCAGTTTTAGCAAAATTGGCCCAATATTTCCTCATAATGGTGGACAACATAAAATTAGAATCCTTTGGCCTATATTCAGAATTGGGATCAACAGAACCTAAGTCCTCTATGAAAAACAGAAACATTAAATCAGTGGTATGAGCAGAGCCTTTAAACCAGGGCGGTGTAGACGATCCCAAGAAAACTGGTAACCTCTCCGTTAGAATAAACTGGTATCTTCTCGAGTTTTTGGTGTTTCCGGAGGAATGGGCTAATAGAGTTGACAAACTGGGTGCAATGAAATATAAGTCCGAGTACCACTCTAACAGGGAAAGACTTTGAAGAATTATGTTGTTATTTTCCCCATACTCCTTGCACATCGCATCCATTACGCTAGGTTCGTCATTAAAATGATCCGCTACTGCAGTTGGTATAAGATGGTTGCAAAAGAAATCTCTGGGAATACCTTCAGTAATATTTAATCCGTAAGCAGTGAGAACTTCGGAAGTCTCTAAGTACAACGATCCTTCCATGTCACAATTGCCAACCATTACGTCCAAAGATTTGAAAAACATATATTCCTCTGATAATGGATTTTGAAATATTTTGTTAGATGACATTTTGAAAAGTTCGCCGTCTACTACAGGTGTAAAGACATTGATTATGAGTCTGTGTATGGAAGTAAGCGATTCTTTGGCAAAATTGGATACAGCATGCATTATATAATCAACTGATAAGTTCCGCATGCATTTTATAATAAGTTCGGGTTTTGTGTTTCCGTTACATCCGACTTTGTCTGTTATTATATCTGAGGATTTCCTTGTGCTTCCAATAGCCAGAGGAGAGTTGGCTGTCCCACTTTGCAGGATGATTCGATGAAACAATCCTTTATTTTTCGGTATAAGGGACAAGAGTCCCACACTGAAACCCCCAGCTGATTCTCCGAACACAGTAACTTTTTTGGGATCTCCACCATAATCCTCGATATTATCTTTTACCCACTGTAGAGCTAACATTTGATCCCAGAGTCCATAATTCCCCTTGACAAAAACTTCATCTAAACAATAGAAACCGAGGACACCGAGTCTGTAGTTTAACGTTACAACAATTACGTCACCAGTTAAAGCAAGCATACTTCCGTCGTAGTAACTTCCGGAACCAAAAATGTAGCCTCCTCCATGGATCCATATCATTACTGCTCTCTTGTGTGTATGCTTCAGAGGATAAGGGACATAAATATTTAAGTTCAGACAATCTTCACTCATTCTTCCAATGAAATATGGATTATCTGAAAGTTGTATACATACAGGTCCAGGGATAGTTCCATTTCGCGTTTCATTCCAGGCACCATACTGCTTTGGTTTAGCAAATCGCAGTTCATCAATTGGGGGCTTCGCGTAAGGTATGTTAAGAAATTTTAAAATCCCCGCTTGGGTTCCATTTAACACATGTTCTCCTACGATCTTGCCAAGTTTTGTATGGTGTAAAATATTTTTGATATATTGTCCTCGTGAACACGATAGAGAATTCAAAAGGAATACTGCTCGAAAAATATTCATTTTTGTGACCTGTAAAATAAAAGGGGGACATATAATCCACATTAAAATGTGAAAAAATATTAAAATTTCAAAAAGAATATTTTGTCGTGCTTTAAAAATGATGTTTTTTTTTTAATCGTGTTATGGTCTCGAAGGAAAAAAAGTAAGGAAAATCAGACCAACTTTAAAAAATTGTTCGGTTGTCCTCTCCCGACCGACTGGCAAAAAACTTTTTTAACCTCCGAGAAACAATATTTTTTATGCATTCCGGAAAATAAATTTTGAAAATGCAGCATTGATGTTGAAATTTTATGGAAAAATTTTTTTTTACACCTACCTACCGACCCAATTTTTTTCATCCTGAGTCGGGAGAAGGCAAACAAACATTATTTTAAATTTGGCCTGACAAATGTTGAATTATTAATGCAAACACCAGGCCAAAATAAAAAATACCTTTGTTTCCCCTAACGCGACCGACCCACTTAAATCCCGCCGACTGAAAAGTTTTTTAAACAAGATTATTCAAATTTTATTTTTTTTTTTTTTTATTGTTTATTAACTTTATAAAATACCATTTCATCGAAATCCATTTTTATCAGAACGGCAGCTTTTTTTCTACATTGATTTGGCGCCCACAACATGTGGCCACAGAGGGTTAGTTCGTGTTATAAAACTTCGGCGACGTATCAATCTTATTATATATCTTTAACTTATTAGAATCCTACACTCTTGAAACATTTCGAGAATAAAATATACCATGACTAAGGTTTGTTTCAATGGTATTTACAAATTTGTCTACTAAAATTAATGTACATGTACGTACTAGTAAGCATAGCAAAGGCTGCCTCATGAGCAGATGAGGGGCCCACCTTGTATAAGTTGTGTATACATATCAAAAAATTTCACTGCATTTCATTCGGTTGGATCTAATAAACAGTTCATGCATGATCCTAGTTTTACTACATGGGACCACAGGAGTTGTAATTCTGTCTTTGTATTTATTAATTATTTCATTTTGATAAATATAATTCAGACGTCGTTTCTTCATTCCTTTTATTTATGGGTTAAACTTCGTGACTATAACATTAGATATATTATGGTATCCGGATAGGGCCATTTGCAAAAGCTCAACAGCGCGTTCAGAAAAACACGCCATCGCGCTAACACACAACACGCCATCACGCTATCACAATTATACGAAACACGCCATCGCGCTTATACACAATACGCCGTCGCGCTAACACGCTTTCAAACAACACGCTGTTGCACTAACACAACACGCCGTCGCGCTGTCACACAACTCGCTAACACAACTTTGTGATAGCGCGACGGCGAGTTGTGTGTTAGCGCGACGGCGTGTTGTGTGTTAGCGTGACGGCGTGGTGTGTGTTAGCGCGACTGCGTGTTTTTTTTTCTGAACGCGCTGTTGAGCTTTTGCAAATGACCCTATCCGGACACCAAAATATATAGCATTTTAGTCATTTTTAGATATGATTTGGTTGAATTAAATATTGTTATACAAGTAACTCTTTCCAGATAGTGTTAAAATCTTTAAAATTGGTTTATGGTACAGCCTCCTGAGACATCCAGTGCATTTTTCTTTAGTTAGGCCCTTGATAATAGGTAGTTTCTTTGCTTTAAAATCCCTTTAAAAATTGTTGGGCCGACAACATTTGAACATCTACCTGGTGGAGGGCTCCAAATTTAAACTTTTGCTCGCCATTTATGGCCATTGATCATTAAGCATCAGTAAGGGATCTTTTTCGCTCCAACATCTAGACTGTGACACTGGACCTCCGTCTTTATGTGCGACACTGGACCTAGCTACGTTTTTACGGTCTCATTCGACTAACCAGTCTCCAAGTCCCACATCGGGACCTGTGAATAAGAAAAAGCTTCTAAATTACATCCTGACTCCAAAATGAAACATTCTAGAACCACTGTGCCACGCGGAACCCTTGACATTTTGCCTGTGTAACCACTTAATGATGATAGAAGGTTTGAAAAATATACTCGGATGTCCGATGGTTGAGTATTTGCGAATCTTGTCTTTTTGTAAATATTCGATTTCAATAAATTTACACTGGCCTGCGATATTTCATAAGTTCAAATGAATAATATTTGTGAACCTATTTACCATACATGTTGCTTTTAAATTTCATTAGGATGATATTCAGTTTAAAAATCGGTATCTTTAGTTCTTTCTTATTTATAAAGATATTATTCAATTTTTTAGAATGTATTTTCATAACTGCTGTCGGGAAAAAAAATAATTTACCTACCTACCTACCCAACTTCAGATTTTAGGGTCGGGTTAGGGGAAACAAAGATATTTTTAATGATGGCCCCAGCGACAGAATATTAGTAATCGGATGAGAAAATGAGCTGATTATAGTACAAAATTGTGAAATTTAAGAGTATAAAGATTTAGTCGACCGACGCAGATAAAAGAGTGATACAATTGACTGGCGTGTTTTGATTTATGAATTGTTTTTTTTGTTTGTATTTTTGCTTTTATTTAATTTCCATCGGCAACTTTTCACTCAAATTGGGACGTCATCAATTTTTGATATTTTACGTGCCAGGAAAACGTCAGAACCGACGCCATTATGACCGCGTAGTTTGGGTCTAAAAAGATGTGTTGTTGATCGGGCAAGAGGGAATGTTGGCAGGGAAATGAGTGGCGCTATGGGCCGGAAGTAGTAAAGCCGTATTCCTAGGGCTCTTCCCGAAAACACATATAAAAGTCCAAAGTAACGAGGAATTGGTTTCCGAATTTATTAACAAGTCCCAACGATGGAAATGATTAACATGGAACAATAATAAACAGTAACCAGTTGGATATGGCCATAGCCTCCAAACTGTTAAAAGTAGAAATAGTTAAAACACGATGGGGAACGAGTCGGACGTGGCCGGTAGTACACCCGGCCTCCGAACTGTTAAGTAAAAGTTGACAATGGTATTTAAGAGGAATTGAACAATGAGTTAAAAATGACAGGTGTTGACAATGAGTAAAAGTGACACAGGTAACAATAAATGAAATGCTTTGATGACATGGACATAAAGAACACCGATTATTAAATAATTACATAATGTTTGTATAAGGGATTAAAAGGTCCTTGGGCATTAACACTCTGCCCCTTTGTCAGCCGACAAGTGTCACTCAGTAATTATATGAACACTTAATAACTTAACATGAGAAAGATTTGTAAAATGCAAATTTTAAAACCAAATAATTTCAGAATATTAAATATCACATTAAAACAAAAATTAAATATAACATTTAGAGTCCAAAACGAATTATGAATAAAACAGTCAATTTCACACGGTGATACCATTATGAAAAGTGGAAACCGGAGGCAGCATTCTCAGGTCGATTTTCGATATATGAGAACCGAATTAAATATCTAACTCACATGCTGTCAACAGTACAAGGCTTTTAGTACTAACCAATATCACTTTTATTGTTCCTTTGTAATATAAAGTGTCTGATGAAAACATTTTATCAAGCTGTCGAGGTTTGTTTTGATTTCGTGCATTTTGAAATTTCGTGAGACCTGTATCGAAATGTAAGTGATATTTTCTTTTAAGCGGTATTGTTGAGAACTATAGAAGCATTGTGCTATTGATAAGTTATGAATTTGACATTTCATTCAATTCGCAAGTATCGAAAATCGAGTTCAGTTGGGGGCGGCGAAATTTCACTTTTCATAATGGCGTCGGTTCTGACGTTTTCCTGGCACGTAAAATATCAAAATTGTGAAAAACGCATGGAAAACGTCAGATATTTCTGACTATATGGGCACATATGGCTATTGAGAAGTGATTGATCTTTTTTTTAAAGTTTACTCAAGCTTGGTGGATATAAATATACTGTTAAAACACGATGTTTTCATTTAATGTATACTCTATTGATATTGGCATATGGACAACACTTATCAATTTAAAACACACTAAAATACATTTTGTAGTTGGTGACAATACCGGTAATTATTAATAGCTTGTCTTTTGTGAAGGAACGCACCAAAGACAGTTAAAGCACCCAACAGAGTTTTTACACATATTGTTTTATCTTGTAACACATTTTTATATATAAGCTAGTATCCTCCGCAAATATACTATGTACAGTGATTACATCTGCAATAATGAGCATCTATTTATTTAAATAATAGAATAGGTTATTTTTATGGAGAAACTTGGTTCCTGCTATTTGAGTTGGGTTAGCCAAAGAATAAATTAGGTCGGGATCAAAATCTCTTTGGAACAGATTCAAGACGATATCGAAAGTCGAGGTATGTAATGTATCGTAGAGGGTCTTATAGCCTCCCACTTTTTTTCCAAACTTACTTTTAACTTTTACGATTAATAATGTTCATTGAAAGGCCGCCCCCCCCCCCTTTTTGTTGCAGTATAGTCAAATAAAGGTAACGTAGTAGTGTATGAATAAAGGATGATGTGACACCTTTTTCTACGACGAATTATATTTAATCTACAACGATTAGTTTTCATACATGAGTGAATAAATACGACGCCTTTTAAATAGTTTCAATAGTTCCGACAAATTTTAATTATAAGGATAACTGCATTATCTATGATTTTTTTACCTTATGACAGCAAAATTCGGCCTGGTTTGTGACAATACGTTCTTTTATAAAAAGAGAATAGGCGGGTCTTAGTACAATAGAGGGATATGCATGTTTGAGGAATTTACCTTATATGGCTATTGTTATTATTTCGCAAGTAGTCGCTTACCGAGAACAATTGTCCAATCCGATGACAGAACGACATAACATGCTGATTTACTACATGTTTACATTTTATTACAGGCACGTGGTTTAGGTCAATTTACACAATATCTCTACTACATTTCAAACTTTTAATGGTCAGCCAAGGCTATTTATACATAATAATACGCACGGAACTGCAGTGTTTACCGTTTAGTGTCAAGAAATGCACATGAAACTTCTTTTCACTGATTCTCGGGCAGACGTGTAGACCTAGCGAATTACCCACCAAATGCTTTACAAAACTTTGAACTATGTATATTTATAAATCGTAAATGTGAGCTGGGAAATTGTAGATCCGTGTCTAATTTGTGACTCAAATGCATAAAAAATGTTTATCGGAAAGCAGGTTAAAAAAAACAATCTTTTTTCGAAGCATAAAATGTCCTTAGTATTTTTGTGATACTCACTAGTTATGCAACTCATTTAGCTGATTGGTCAGTTAGAAAGTATCGCCAGTGCCTCCATTAGCATATGAATTTATCCTTACATCAGAAAAAATAGTTTCGTCGATCTGTTCATAATGGGAAAGGCAAGCTAGATTTTACATTTTTTGAAAACAACATGTGAGCACAGTTAGGTACATTTTTCTCCTTTCACATATAGGTAGATTTCAATAAAAGACAGTGACCAGCCAAAGGAGAAAAATGTACCTACTTGCGCTCGTATATTTTAAGGCCTTCAAAGAGTGGGGTGGGGCCAAAATTCAATGGGAATTGGATGTAAACATAATAAAGACATATATCTTCCAAATTATGTTTCTTTTTTCGGTAAAAGTAGTATTTTATGAGGGTATACATATTAGTGATTAAGTGCATGCAAAAATTAGAGTAAAATTTAGATATTTAATTTTTTGTCAATTTACCGGGGGCCGTATGTCACATCCTTTTGGTACTGAAATAAGTTGGAACATCCGAACCCCCCCCCCCTCCGAAATAGGATTTTCGAGTTTAGAAAATGTTTCTTTCTTTTTTTGGAAGGGGGGGGCTTGTCAAATTTTATCAGGTCAGTTGATTTTTTTTCTCTGCCCCCCCCCCTTTCAATAACTATGCTACGTCCCTGTTACATGTATTTGGATATCAATGATTTATTCTTTTAAGACTTTGGTAAAGTCATCCGTTCCGTTTTATTACCGGAAAAGTACTATTTCGGAAATGAAAACTATAAAATGTGGAAAATAAAAAGTATGAAATGCAACCCATCAGTGGTATCACCGATGACCGAGATAGCAATTTAATAGAAAAATGTGTTGGAAAGCGTAACAATTTGGACCTAATGACTCATTTAGCCATATCAAATGGAAAATTTTAGCAAATCAAAACACAGTATGAAGAAAATATTCTTTTTTCCGGCATATATATCACAAGAAACCGGTGTATCAATGGAATGCAAAAATATCAATTGAATGCTCCATAAAACTTTTATTTCTCAAATGGTTTGCTCAGATTCCTGCCACATTCTTTTAAAAAACTTAAGTCTTGGAGCCTCGGCGAGATATTACTACCTCCATTCTGGACGAACTACCGAAACAGAGTGAACGCTGAAAACCGAGTGTTCTGAAAGTAAATAACTCGTCTTTTGCAAATAGAATAGAAAATCTAACAAATACAATCTCTCCCGAAGACTTCTATGTAGCATTTCAGAGTAATGAAATGATTGCCAGATTTTCCAACTATGCACAAGCAGTTTTCCTAGACCCACGATATTTGCTCCAAAATCGACATTTTTGGTGTTTGTGCTCTATTTTTTTAGTCTCAAATTCAAATTTTCCGACAACTCCGTTTCGGGGATTCGTCTAGACTGACCACAGGTATTTGACAATAATCTCCCGCCGAGGACATGATACTTCCGGAAAGCGACCTAGTTTTTCGCCTTGGGTCAGTTGTTAGTGCATTATACAGTGTAGCTTCTGAATGACAGTGCAGTTCACCAACTAATGAACTTTCAATCTTCATGGTAAATAAGGAAGTTGAACACCTAATGTATATAATTATTTTCAAGAATGCCACAAAAAATAGCTTCAAGATTATATGAAGAATTGGAGAATATCTTAGAAAAGGAATTACCTTTCTCCATTCAAGTAAGTCTTGACCAGGTAAACAATCAAAAGCTATTTTTAGAATGCCCAGTTGTAAATGGCTGTTAAGGTCAGACGACACCTTCCTCGAAAATATATAATTTTTCCTAAGAATTTGTCTTGGAAGTATTGCTACTTGAACAAGTTTCCTCACCAAAAATTGGGCTATCTTACCAGGCATCTGGGCAAGATTCCAGAGGGTGCATTTCTTATATAATCCTTATGGGAAATCTTTCGAATTGCCAATGTCACAATTTTTGGTGTACTCATTTTTTAAAACATATAGAAAACAATTTAGAAATTACAAGAGAATGACAATTATGAATATTTTTTATATAATACCAAGATATTCAAAACATATATTTAAGGAACGTGTCGTCTGACCTTAATACGTTTCCCCAGACTCCTTTTGATATCATTATATGTGTTATTTGCATCAGGTAACGTTTCAATATATGCTTCCTCACAATGTCAGGGGTCCCGTGACAACATATTGGCACAGGGCCTTGACGTTGTGAGGACGCGACGCAATAAATGTTGTTTTCCCATAATTAAGCAAGAAATGTACAATAACTCTATAAAATACTTTATTTAAAAAAAAAATCACTTTACACATGAGGATAAATGGGGCAAATTTTCCTATTCATTACCTCCAAGCTGTAATTAGTCATTAATATTCTAACATCGTCACGTACATTACATGTAGTGCACATTCACTTTTGTTAAATTCATGGCCGGGGGAGGGGGGGGGGGGGGGGGGCATGGGTCACAATAGGGTATATAAGTTTTACAGTTAAACCTTTTCTGATTTAAAAAATTTTGGTTTCTAAGTAATTCATTTTATATAATCATAAGACAGTATATTCATATACCAGTCAGATGTAGTCTATAAAGGTCCATGAAATGAACCCAGATATCCCAGTTGAGTTTTTATGTAACTAAAGAAGAATATAAGAAAACTAAGAAAATCGTTAAATGAAGAGTATGGTGTAAATATCAAACCTAAGTTCTACTCAAGGTAATTATCTCTCAAAACAGGAGCATAAAACTGTCCAGAGCAATATCGTGTCGCCTTTTTGGCTACGATCTGAGTTTGGGGAACTGACTCGCTGGCAGTGGAGAGGACCCTTTAATGACGTAATGTCCGGTCCAAATAGGTTTGGGACGATTACTCTGAAATTAGACACAGGGAAGCGCTAAGTAAACGATACTACTTTATTCAGGTCTCCGATAAGAATGTACAGTGTATTTAGTCACCAGGCACAATAAAATTAATATTACTAACTGCATAAAGCATTACAAAGTTTGGTGCCCTAACTTACCTAACTCTGGTAACTGATAGAGTGATCAAACAATGCAAAAATACTCACTCTATATGAAAATCTAAACAAAGTAATATGGCTAAATAAAAAGTGAATGTAAGCATTTAGTAAGGAAATTCGAACTGACAAAATGTAGGCAAGTTTAGTAGTTTACGTTAACCTTCTTAATATGAATAATTTTAACTCAGAATAAGAAAAATCATAAAACCCATTATTTTACCCAAAACATCCTTACTACATTAATCAAAGAAATACTTTCACAAAACTTACAATATCCACTTGCCGCATGATTGTTGATTCGTTGTGAAAACCAGTTTAATAACAATAAAACCCAAAACCTAAACTGAACAAGTTATTTCCGAACTTCGCTGGTTTACCATCAAAAATTTAAAACCAAATAATATGAATCAATATAAACATAAGTTTAGTTATTAATAATGACCAAAAACGATTTTGATAAGAAGTTTAAACAATAAAAACCTTAAAACTGAATAAACTAATTATTGTGAAACTAATAATTTTAATAGAATTATACTTTAAGTGAAAGCTCAAATTTCCAGAAAACAAAATAAAAACTTTAACTAACTTTAAGAAATAGAAAAAAAAAAAAACTGACCGAAGTAGGGTACGCAATCTTAATCGGAGACCCGGGCTTCCCTGGTCAATTTCGGCCAATCAAAATTCAGTTTCTTTGTTCTTGAATAACTTCGTTAATTGAAAATTCGATTATAGCTGATCACGTGACCGTGATCTCCGGACACTGACCATTATCAATTAATTGACTCTAACAAGGGTAATCCCCTAACAAAGAAAAATCTACTGACACATGAGTATATCTTGATTTTGACACTAGGTAAAAAAAGATGAAAGGAAACCCTTAAGGACACATGCAAACAACATAACACCTATCTGCAAATTAACTTGAATCTCTGAATAAAAAAATTACATCATTGTACATTTTTGTGCCATTCTTACAAAACATACCCAACAGATGGAGTTTTGATAAGTAAATTGACCAGATTTAATTATTTGTTTGTTGTATATTTCATTTGTCAAAATAAAGTATATCAGGAAGGACAGCAACTCCGAACATGTTAAGATGCAGTTTGAGACATATTCAATATTACATGTATTAATTTTTTGTTTTTATGTTGATTTTATTTTTAAATTTTGCATAAGATTGAATGAATTAAAGAATTAAAAAAACTTTAACTTTGTATTTCCCAATATTTCCCAGTTTAGAGAAAATTTGTAGTATTTACCGGGACGGGAAATACCGGTCTTGTAGAGTATGCCCCCCCTAAAATCTTTCCCCCCGGAAAACTGGCTCTAGAGTAAGACCCCCCCCCCGAAAATAGACTCTAGAATAGGATTCCCCCAAGGAAAATTACTGTAGATTGAGATTTTCCCCCACGGAAATCCCACATCAGATTCAATTTTCCGGGGAAAAAATCCTACTCTGCGTTATAGTTAGAGAGTGCAATTTCCCCCCAGAGCTAATTTTCCCCCAAATAAGATATCCTAGTATGTAAAATGTATGAGGGGGGAGGGGGCGACACATTGTTACAAGTGCCCCTTCTTCAAATGGCGATCAGTTCCATATTGAAACATACGGAGCATAAAAAACTGAAATTATAAATCTCATTTTTCTCCAATCAATTCTCTGAAACATTTTATTCTTTTCATCCAGGTCAAACTGGTTTCTGTAAATAATTGGTACAATGTAACCTGTTGCAACTGGACAAATTTTTAACTGTGTCCATGGAAACAATAAAGGAATTTTACTTTAAATGGGTTTTTTTCCAATTGTATTTCAAACTACATTTACATATTATAGATATGTAAGTTTCTGGTGTTTAAATTTCCAAAATAGTTGCCATGGAATTAAAATTTTATTTTTGTATTATTTATTTCTTTTATTAATTTATTTCTCATTTATTTCTCATTTATTTCCTTTATTGCTGAATCATTTGTTTCTGAAAATTTGAAATTATGCAAAACTTTGAGAGAGTATTTGCTATCTGCTTTCAAATCCAAAATAACACCACTTGGGTCGAGGAGACACTTATGCTAGTAATGTTAGTTTTTAGTTTTGTTCTTTTTTTTTTTAATTTAATTTAATCAGTATTTCATTATGTAAAGTCAGTTTACATAATTGGATTGGACATCAGGCATGGCCTATATAAGTCCTCTCCTAGAAGGTCAAGGTTACAAATGTTAAGAATTGACAATGATTTACAATCATGATCAAATAATTCAGAATAAGTTACATTAATTTCTTTTGTTAACTAGAAATGGGGGAAAAGGAGAGGTAAATTAATAAATTCACAAGAGTTATTACTTAGCATGTATACTCACTATACAATATAATGAAAAAATAAAAGAGTGCAAACAAACAACAAAATAGAATAAGTAAACAAATGAAGTGCAAAAGACAAATATGCAAGGAAAAAAAAAGCAAAGAAGATAATATTAATAATAAATAAATAAATCTGGAACAAGCAAAAACACTGGATAATAATAATAATAAAATAATAATAATAATAATAATAATAATAATAAAAGAATGAAAGTGCAAAAGACAAATATCCAAGAAAAAAAATACAATATATATATACATGGAAATGCTGAGATTTGAAATAAGTATAAATATAAAAAATATTAGGAAATAAATATTAAAACTTAAATATGAAATAATATCAAAATCGCTTTGAAAACTTGATGTATAGTAGGACTGCTTCAAAAATTGAACAGTTAGTTTTATCAGGCAATTGCCTATCACCAAATAGCAAAGTATTCAAAATTTGATCAGGAGAGAGGGTTTCCAATTCTATTATACTCTGAAGACTGTCAAAAAGTATCATTCTCTGATTATTATAGGCAGGGCATTCTAAGAAAAAATGATAGTTATCCTCGTTCGAATATCCGCACTTAGTACAAGATGCCATTTCACTTAAATACTGATTGTACAGGTGAGCATTTATATTACTAGATTCATTACGTAGTTGACAATGTATAATGTTTTCCTTACGATTACCGTAATTAAAGATCTTGACATCCTTGTTCTTTTTTCCCTATGAAGAACTCGATTCAAATACTATCAAAATAGTGTCATGAGGAAAACTTTGTTTTCAAATTATATTTAGAATTAATAATTACAGTGTTCTATTATTTTAAATATTTTAATGAAATTAAAGAAGAAAAAAAAGATCATAGTAATTTAACATTTTTAACATTTATAAATTATATTTAAAAGTCAAATTTTACTAAATTAAATATCTGTTTTTGTTAGAAAATATACATTGCTAAACTCTCTTGTTATTGTATTTTTGGAATTTCACAATTGACATTTGGGACAAAATATTTAGCACCTTTCCGTCTTCTGAAATTGGTTTTCTTTTACGGGTATGTTCGTGTCATCTATTGTTCATTGTAAGTAATTGTATTTACATCAAATCTTTTGGTTAATTACTCAGGTGAAAAAGTAAGTGTCCATGTTTATATTTTATCGCTCAAAACCAATATTCCTTTGTTTAGGGATTAAGCCTTGCAAAAGACTTTCTATAAAGTTAATCTTTTACTCAGTTATTATGTCAGCAATTATCTATCATCAAAGGTAAATGGCATGACCACATCTGTACATTTTAACACTTTTAGATAATAGATCAATTAGTAAGATGCAATTTGATTGGTGAATTTAATAAATCAGAACTTTTGCGATTAAGGGTACGCGTGCCTGCATGTGTCGGTCACTTTTCTACATGCAATAAAACCGCACAGATGTCGAATCTTTTGTTTTCTTCAAATTCAGGTTATTTCCCCTTATCAACTGCTAGCTAGTAGGATAAGAAGCACCTTAGGCCAAAAAGAAAAACAGGGAGATAGTCATGTACTCATTGGCAATTGAAAACTGTTAATTAATAGTGAAAGACAATAGTATGTGGAATCTTTAATAACAAATTTTAGATTTTTCTCACACACTCTGTAAAAAGGATCGAACCATAGATAAAATATTGGGCCTTTTAGTGGACAAACAAATTTTCAAATCACTAAAGGTGGCCTGATACACATTTTAAAATTCGTGAACAAACAGTACAGAGAGGGTGTTGAAACATCTATAGTATTACGATTTTTGAGTGACTTATTTTACAATTTTCTATAAGTTACAATTCTTGGTTGAGACTCAATGATTTAAAATGTCATACTAAGTTTGACAATTCTTGAGTAGAAAACTCGTATTTCCATTAAAAAATCAGTTGACTTTCATATAAACTTTAAGCAAAAATATTTTCGATATGATTTAAGCATTGATAAAAGAGGGAAATTAAATCCTACTCTGAGAAAGAAAGAGGGGGAAATTTGGCTCTATTGTCAGATTTCCTCTTAGGGGAAATCCTACTCTAGAGAACAGATTCAGGGGGGTGGGGGGGAGGAGTTGGCTATGGGTGAAATTCTACTCAACAACACCGGTATTTACCACTGGTTATTCCTACCACTGGTATTTCCCGGCCAGCTCTGTGGACAATGGATTCAGAACATGAGTAACCTTCTATATTTGTCTTCCATTTTTAGGCTTACTATCCCTTGAAACTTTTACGGAAGAGGTTATTAAAGAACAGAATTGTTTGGGTGGACAAATGGCCAGATTTCAGAGTTGTGGTAGTTTCAGACGACCGGGTCAGTCACATTATTTTTGCATTATTTCTATATTATGCTGGATTTGATATATATCACGGAAAACACTAATAGAAAACTCAGAGTAACAATTAATCCTCTTTCATTAAGTTTTCAAGCACAAAAGGCAATTAATGTACGGCATTAAGAAAAAATTCGTTTATATGCATGTGATTTACCGTTTAATTGTCGGTAAGATCTGTTTGGTAAAGTGGTTGTTCCTATTTGTTATATGACTGCGAAATATGGGAATTCGATTTTATTGGAGGTCAGCATTTTATATATTTTTTAAAATATATTTTAAATCTAAAATCTAGTACCGAATCTTATGTAGGAAACTGGACGTTTCCCAATGAATGTTTATACAAAATAATATCTTTCTTGGGAAAATTGCTACATTGAAACGAGAATAAGATATATAGGATCATTTATTTACATTTTTATACGATTTACCAAAAATGTTAAAGATGTATAATCCGATCTCTTTAATCTCAGAAAATTAAGATTTACCTTCATCATTCATTAGTTTCATTAAGTCTCTCACTTTCCAAAAATTACACACTCTAGTTTGCATCTGTTCCAGAGAAAAAAGAAATTGGAAGGTAAAAATAAAATTATTATTGTTGTACGATAATGAATACAACGACTGCTGATAAAGCACATGCACACTAACTAGCTTCGCTTCAGTCGTAAATATGAGATTTCACGAGTGCATATTAGGACTTGTGGAAAGCCGGTTATTTTGACGGAATCGGGACACAAGAAAAGTCTACTTTAATTAATTAACATTTTTTTGAAAATCGAAAGACCTTTACACTGAATATTCATGACTTTTTGTTTGTTTTCAAAGAATAATTTCTTTAATTACAACTTAGGCACAAAATATAATATAAGTTGAAAGTATATTTTTGTCATTTGAACATATGAGAAACATACCTAGCCGATAATTTCAATAGGTGAAAAATACATTACACTTGCGGACCATACAGTTTTAAGCAATCCAAGGATATCAACACAACAGGACTGTGTTATGATTGGAATTTTTACAGTTTTCAGTGTTAAGTTAATTGCTACTTCATTGAACCAAAAGCTCAATCGACATTTAGATCAAAGATCAGTTTATACAAAAATTGTATGTATTGATATAGGTTGTGGGGTCATCATATTCTGTTAGGAGGTTTGGGTTAGAGGGTGGTGTTTTTCGTTTGTTAGTTAGTTAGTCCCTTTGTATTTTATTTGGTTAAACTTCTTTGCATTTAAATAATCCAAGAAAGGGTACAGCATACAGATTTAAAAAAGAAAATAAAAACGAAACAAAAACAACGTTTGAATGTGAAGAATATTAACTGTTTTACCAAGCAAATTAAAAAATTATTTTCCATTTTGATAGAACAAGTACCCACCGTCTTCCAATACAGATGGGCAGATGGAGTAATATTGAAAAAAAAATGAAGGAGTGTTATTTGTGCAATGTTAATCAAATTGGAGATAAATTTCACTACTAGACTATGGTGCAATGTGCAATGTAATATGTACTATAATTCAGAAAGATTTTTTGTTACAAAAATATTATGTACATTCAAATGTCATAAATTTTATAATTTGATGACAATTACTGATTCTGCATTCCTAAAAAAAACTATGTACATTTATTGCCAAAATTTATGACATTTTCTGTTCTCTATGGTGTTCCGTTGGGACCACTCGCACCTTCGCACTCTCGCCTTTAAGTCGAAGATACGAGAGTGCAAAGGCGAAGTTACGAAGGCGAAAGTGCGAAGATGCGACCGCGAAGGTGCGAGGGCGAAGGAGCGATTCTAATATCGCACTTTCGCCATCGCAATTGCGCACTTTTGCCTTCGCAACTTCGCACTTCAGCCTTCGCATTTTACTTTTGTGGAGCTCTTTATCGTTATGAGTTACTTTAAGTGGGCTAAATTCAGTGAATTTTTAGAGTTACCGTGTGTAGGTTCATGAATTTACCGCACTCTCGTCTTCGCCTTTTTTGCGCCAGTATTTTTTTCTCTCTGATGTTATTGGTACGCATGCGCTCTATCTATCTATCTAATCTAATATAATTTAATATAATCTATACATGCTATTTGGAATTTCTGAGAAAATTAGTCAATGGATGTATATCCCAATATGTATTTTAATTTCTTCCGGTTTACTTGTAGCACAAGGATGCTTCACCACAGCGAGTTTATTGTTTCTGCAGAGACGAGCGCTCATCCTCTTTGCATTCAGTACTAAGTCTTGTATCGGAAGATCTATCAAATTCTCTCCTCGTGTTTGGTGAGATGCCTTGGAATGATTTTAATTTACTACACATACAATATTTACTATATATTTTAATTCTTCATTAATTTTTGAACATTTTTTTTTTCTTTTTTTCAAAATTTTGTTGATTACCATGGAAATAAATACCAACCGACTTAGAGCAATGTAAGGCAAATTTTCAGCGTCTGATTTAGTGATTTTCAAAGTTCCTTCGGAGTAATGTCAGTTAGTATACGGTAACCACCATATCATAATTATATTTACAGGTTGCCGTCCGAGTGTGGCGGATGATTTAATAAAATGTCATGATTCTTCCGTCCGGCGTGTGAGTTCTGATGCATACATGCTGACGCTTCCCAAGGAAAATATCATTTCTTTGTAAGCATATATGTAAGGCTAGGAATATTCTGGTTCCCTGACAAACAGGTTCAGTCAAAGAGAACTAGAGTCTTCTCAAAGCCTTAAATCTCTGTTTTAAATTTACTGGGTGGCAGTAAATACAAAATTTAGAACATGATAACTAGTATTTACTCCAATCCAGTTAATTCAAAATTTAGAGCATGACAGATGCCTGTGATGAAATCATCTGTGATCGGCCACAAAAATAACGGATGTAATTGTAATTTTAAACAAAATAAGCAGAAAATTATCATTTTGTCAATTTTGAATTTCTGTTTGGATGTAAATATGAATTTGCAACGTGATAATGGTTATGTAAATGGCATTAATTACCTCTACGCAGAAAATTCAAAATTTACAACTATATACGTGCTATATGAGGAAGGAAAGCATTTTTAGAAATTTGAGTACGAAAAGTTTGGATTGAAATTCAATTCCTATCATTTGTCTTCATCTATATACATGTCTATTTGTAGTGAGAGGTCAAAACGTTCGGCTAATAAAGTGATATTGATATGTTAAATTCCTTTACCATCTTTTGTTCCCTCGGTGATTCTACATTTAATATTTGACTTTATTTTTATTTCAGACCAATTCCAGATCATTTCAAAGTAACTTGTCTGAGTGAGCATCATTTGGATACAGTAGTCAAAGAATGGCCATATTCTGGAGTGTTTAGTGATGCTAAGGAGTGGATCAGAGAGATGATAGGGGTGTCACCTAGCGTCTGTGTAGAGAATAAAGAGGGACAACCCATAGCTTGGGTGTTACAACAAGACTATGGCTGTATTGGAATGCTGCAAGTAAAAGCTGAATATAAAAGAGCAAAACTTGGAAGTGCCGTTACAATGCTACTTGCACAAAAGTTGCGGGAAGAAGGATTGTATATATATTCCGCCGTAAATGTTGAGAATAGCCTTTCAGTTGCCTTCCATGAAAAGAATGGGTTTCAGTTTCTGTCGGATTTTCTTGTAGCCTTTGTAGAGTATGGATTTAACCAGACATAACCGACAACATATCTGGATTTACCTAGATTTAATGGATAATAATTTAATTTTAGTTGTAACATGTCATTTGATTGGATAAAATATTTCGTTTATATCGTATAACATAAGTTGCCTATGTCACAATGAGTTACTTCAAAAATTGACGTTACTTTTAAAAGATGCTCAATTTGAAGCCATTTTTGGAAGAAAAATTGTCTTATTGTCTACACTGAAATAAAATTTTTATAAGGAATGAAACTTATTTTAACCTACATGTATGTTATACGATATAACATAACTTGGGGCAGTTTACGCGTTTTTATAAATCGCTTCGCGTATTTTACCAGTTTTAACGGACAACATATCTGGATTTAACCAGATTTAATGGACAACATATCTGGATTTAACCAGATTTAACGGATAACATATCTGGATATAACCAGACTTAACGGACAACATACCTTCACTCATTTTCAATGGATATTGTTCGAATATTAAGGGATAAAATCTCCTGATAGCCACAAGTTCACTGATGAGAATAGAAAAAAAGACATATATGCTATCGCAAAATTGTTTGTTAATTTGTAAGAAGAAAAACAAGTGACATTTTGAAATTAATGTTAAGGAGCACGGCTAATTTAAATGTAAATCGTAAATTATACGAAGGTTGGAGCCGCCATTGATTACTGCTGATTTTATACTTTGTTGTAAAACTTTTTATGCTGCATTAAATAAAGGTTGTCAAATTATCTTATTTACAATATCTTTTATGATTGCAGATGAATTAAAATGAAGGGCGCATAATATTAAAGTATCTACTCCCACACCTCCCCTCAAAACAAAAGGATAACTTTCAGCATATAGTACACAGGGAAAAGTGGTTCGCATGATTTTCATGCGTTTGCCTTTTCGCATGAAATTTATGCGAAAATCATACAAAAATCATGCGAAAAGTCCCACATGCGAATTTCATGCGAATGTTATCTCACAAATTTCATGCAAAATTCATTCGATTTTCATGCAACTAAAATTTCGCATGATATCCATGCGAATTCCTCTTTGTCTGTTTTTCGTGTGAAAATCATGCGATATTCACAAGAATATTATGCAATATTAATACCATATGAGGAAAAGCAATGAACAAAAAAATTTAACATTTCGATGTTTATTTAGATGCATCTATCACAGTGAGTGGTAAAAAATTGCCAGTCTCTGATGATACTAATATCACATTGTTTGGATGCTCCTTATGAATCCATTTACATTAATGATGGCTGTGTTTAAAGGCAGTTTTTCAGTCTTTTTCAGTCTTTTGTCCTGACAAGCATTTCCTACAAAGAAATTAAATCATAAAAAATTTTATTATATTACTACCCATACTGATATTCCAATTGTTTCAGTCAAAGGGGCTAACTCCTATAATTACTGAATAGGATCTGTCATTACATACAATAAATTCCATGTTATCACCTGAAAGGTCCATGTTTTGTCAACTTGTTTATGTTAAACTGCACTGTTATTTCATGTTTTGAGCAAAACAGAAGACCCTGTGTTTTGTACATTAATAACTGCACAATAGAGGCATATGTCAGACATCAGAACATGTTATTGACCATGCAACTCTATATATAAGTAGTGATTTCCCTAAGAACCAGCTACCGGCCAAATTAATTGCTTCAATTGATAAAAATGCCGCTTGGAAAAAAAAATAAAATAAAATTTAATTGTTGTAAGGTCCCCAGAGATTTGTCATAAATATCAACCCAAAGCCATATACAATTGATCTCTAATGTTTTACTTTGAAATAAAGGGAAAACACTGTATAAGGTTGTTATTGGAACCTATTGTCCAAATTAGATATAATAGTCCATTTTAGTTATGATATTCCAATTAGATTTGTGAGTTTTACAGACATTATAATGCTGAAAAGATGGATTTTTTTAATCTGCATAAAATAATTAGAATATATCAAATGCAACAGCTTAATTATCACAAGGAATTTTTTTCATTCATAACCCTCACATTTGTGAGATTAATCCCCAAGAAAATTGGATCTTTTGTGGGACCTGCGTCCTAAAATATTTTGTGTGATACACTGTAAAAGTCGTGTTTACAAGTCTCTGCACATGTGTCAGAACAATATACACAATTAAAAATCACTTTTTATGTTAATTACTTACTCAAAATTTAGTAAAGCCTTCAAGTAAATGTCGCTTAGCATAAAAAATGTATAACTTCATTATGACTTCGATGAAACGGAACCATTCGATTCACCTGGCCGTGTTACGTTGAACTGTTGAACCTGAAACGAAAACGAGATCCGAATTTACTCTGAAAATTTTCGTTGCAAAATGAATAACAATAAGAATCTACATTTTAAACGCAAAATATGACAAACAATTAACAGTACATACATATTCACCATCGTTTCAAGGGATTAGAGCACATAAATCCCAAAGAAAACTCTGGAACAAGCCACAGGAGCTAGGAGGGTACATGTACACTCGTTTTTTTTTCTGTAACAGGAAGTGCATGTAGAACCTGGCTAAATCTGCCAGTCTATATTTCGTATTCATCACAGAATCAGGAAATATCTAAATAACTATAATTTTTGTCCATTAAATCTTTATTTTGAAAATTTATTTCCACGTCGAAGTCGGAACTTTGATGACTACGGGGTATACACTTATTTTACGAAACCAAAAGTAGTTTTTTTATGGAATGCCGTACGTCACATATTACGTCATGATGCGGCTGAGAAAGCAGACAAGAAAGAGCAGAGTAAATTCAACTGCATATTTTCTGTAAGTTTGTCATATTTTTGTCATCTCCTTTATCACCAGATGAATGTATTATAATTTATTGGCAATATACATGTATGCCGACAGCTTAATAAATAGATATGTTGAAATAAGATGGACCTGTCACAGGCACTCTTTGCCTGTTGCACCTGGGTCTGGTGTAAACCTCACCAAGCAATATACAGTACTGTAAAGTTATACATATATATTAGGATATACCTAATTTTTTTTAATCAGACTGTAAGTCAATCATTTTGTTCTAAAAATAGATACATAATGGAAGGGTGGCCTGGAAAAAAGTGGGGTGGGTCTTTAATTTATCCTTCTCCTAGCTCCCATCCCTTCAACTCTACTATTTTGAATTTCCTTTATCTTCCTCTGTCTGACTCCGACCTTCCCTATTTCTTCCTCTCCAAACTGTCCTTTACATCTCACATTCACCCATCACCACCAATCAAAACATTTATTTGTAAATGTACATGTATAATCACAAAGAGGTTACTCTCTCTTTATATAGAACCATGATATTTATATAATTACTACAATGTACTAATGACATGCACAGTGGGGGCACATCTGTTTAGATACATTGTAGTTCATGTTCACTAGTTTGCAAATAGTAAATGAGTTGTGTCCCTTTCCGGGGTCTTTTTTTTCTTCCTATGTGGCACAATCCACTATAATCACTTAACCAAAAGGTCAAGACTTAAAGAGTGAAAAGAATAATGTTTTCTTTGATCTTTTTGCCATCAGGGCAGGCATTGGGGTGTGCTGTGATAAATTCAGTGCTTTAAAAACACTAGGAGGTTAATTATAAATGGGGATACATGTAGATATAAAAAATGTTTATAATTCATCGATTTTGAAGTTTGACGCTCTGTTTGCAATATTAATAAAAGCAGTAATGTAATATAGCTTAATAAATCAATTGGTTTCTGACTGAGCTAGAGATAAAAAGTATTTATTTAGGAGCACTAATGCCACTGTAAACATATTTATACATTTCTAATTGAAAATACAACAGAACTCAGTTCTCATAAAAAGAGGTAAATCTCAGTTGTTTTGGGAGTTAAACTTTTATGCATTCCAAAATACATGCAGATTTATAAAGAAGCTTAGTTATAAGAAACCAAGTCCGAGTAACTTCCCTGTAAATGAGTTGTACTGACTATATTCTATTTTGTGTTTACTAATGACATGTTTGAGAAATATTTACTAAAATGTTGTATTCTTGACTTGCAGGTATTTGCTAGAAATGAGCAGATGGTTCCCCACTACACAACACTGATAGCTTCTCAAAGATTATACATATATGTTACATGCAAACAGGTAAAAAAAAATCTAGAATAAAATATTTATTGCAAAGGTATACATCAATATATATATAAATAATGTTGTTCTTTATGATCAAGTGGCTGACATACTTTTCCCCCAATCTTATTTTTGCAACCTGTCTGCTTTTCTGCGACTACTCCATGCTGCTTTTCCATGATTGGTTTTAAGCTCCACCACTGAGCCAAAGGCTCAAGGGAGCTTCTCTGATCAAAATTTGTCCGTCGTCTGTCATTGTTGTCATAAACTTTTCACATTTTCATCTTCTTCTCCACCACTGGGCCAACTTCAACCAAACTTAATACAGAGTATCCTTTATGGTAAAGGGGTTCCAAATTTGTTCAAATGAAGGGCCATACCCTCTTTCCAAGGGGAGATAAGTAAGAAATAGTAAAAATTGGGTGTGGATATTTAAAAATCTTCTTCACAAGAACCACTGGTCAGAAAGATGAAACTTATGTGAAAGCTTTCTGACATAATGTAGATTCAAGTTTGTTCAAATCATGACCCTTGGGATAGGGTGGGGCCACAGTGGGTGATCAAAGTTTTATACATAGGAAACATGAAAAATCTTTAAAATTTCTTCTTTTCAGGAACAGTTAAGCCATGATCGGTGATTTTTATGAAGAAGCAAACTTAAGTAGTGTAGATTCAAGTTTGTTCAAACCATGACCCCCAGGGCTAGGGTGGGATCACAATGAGTGAACAAATTTTTACATTGAAATATATATATAGAAAAAATCTTTAAAAATCTCCTTCTCAAGAACAGCAAAGCCATGATTGGTCATATTTATATGAAAGCATTGTCAGGTAGTATAGATTAAAGTTTGTTCAATTCATTACCCCTGGGGGTTGGGAGGGCCTAAATGGGTGATCAAATTTTTATGTTAGGCATACATGTTAAAAATCTTCTTCTCAAGAACAGTTAAGCAGTGATTAGACATATTTATATGGAAGCATCCTTGATAGTTTACATTCAAGGTTGTTCAAATCATGTCCCCTTAGGGGTAGGGAGGGGCCATAATTGGTGATCAAAGTTTAAAATGAGAATACATAGGAGAAATCATTAAAAATCTTCTTCCAAAGAATTGCAAATCCATGATTAGCCATATAAATTCAGAAGCATCCTCAGGTAAGGTTAGGTATATTCAAATTTGTTCAAACCATGTCCCCTGGGGGTACGGTGGGGCTATAACAGAAGATCAAACATAGAAAAGCAAAAATATAATTGCAGAAAATCAGGATAAGGCTGCAGAAAAGCAGGATTTTTTTTCCTGTGAATTATTTGAATCAGACTAGCAGAACCATAAGCATTCAGGTTATTTCTGCTTATCTAATTCTTAAATATATTCTGCTAATTTATAGAATAAATGCATAAAAATGCAGTAGTACTAAGGAGATAATTAACCAAATGCTATTGAATTGACAGTATCTGACATTTTTTTATTTTCACTGTAGGCACAGTTAGCATGTCATCACAGCTTCAAATACCAGAGTACCTATATCCTCAGAAGATACATGCAAACAGATTTGTCAATGGTGCATGTAAGTAAATACATGTATGTTTTTGTTTTTTTTTTTTGACAATTTAAATTTGACAATAAGCTGAACATATTTAATT